TGCGCAGAGTCCCTGAGCAAAAGTGTGCCTTCAGGCTTCCCTTCGAGAAGGGCTTCTGCTTCGTAAGGGTCCGTCACTCCCCAGTAACAGGGATTCCCTATAATCTGAAGCAAATCTGGCACGAGGCGGTGTACGTAATCAATCTGTGTGTGGACTTTCCAAGCTCCCTGACTGCTAACATGGGCACGGCTGTCTCCAGACAGCTGACGCTGCTTCTGCCTCCCTGACTGCAAACACAGGGTGGCTGTATCCTCTTCCGAGTCACAGTTAGCTTGTGGAAGTGCAGGACTGTCCCCGCTTAGGTCAGTCATTCCGGGAGCTAACTTTGGTCCCAGTTTGTATAATGGATTAACCTGTGCAGTAGCTTCAAATGTCTGTATTTGCGCATTGGGAGGGGGATCAACCCCTTCTTCAATACTAAGCCTATCTTCCTCATCTTCTGTAGATACCAAAGACGGATCAAAAGTATCAAAAAATGTTGGATGTGGGCTCACAGGAGCTGTATGCTGTTTAATCAAGTGCCATTTTGGGGCTAAATCTGAGCCCGCAGGAAAAGGGCATTTCTCAAGCATTAATTCAGAAAGATGTGTTTTTCTTCTGTTGGAAAAGAGAGGCTTTGACTGCTTGTCATAAGTTCTCATGGGAAAACACAAGCCCACAGTATCCGGCACCCTCTGTCTGAGACAGCGACTTCCGACAGTACTGTCCTGTCACGTAGGGGGCTTACACCATAGCGCCTGTCTCTCCTTTGAAGTCCACTTCGAGTTCTACCAAACTTTTTATCAGTACCCAATGAACTTTGGGTCTCTGTAGAACAGGAATGTTTTTTCTTTCCACCCCATGGAGCGGGTCGAGAGTAGGAATCTCTTCGTGCAAGTCTTGTTCCTGGGGTAACACAAGAATCATTATCCTTTTCAATGCTTATTTCAACAATTTGAGGGATTTCAGTGGCACAATTTTGGTTTCTCCTTGAAGAATTCTTCGAAGGGCCTAATCCTGATTGTAAG